GAAAGCCCAGCGGTCAGCACCAAGGCCAGGGGCTGGAAGCGAGGGTTGGGGGGTGGAATTGGGAGGATGCTCAAGCACTGGAGTCTCCATGCTGCACAATGCCAGGGGGCGCCATTCACATTGTAATCCCTGGGGAGAGTGACCCATGAAGTTGTGCAGTGCACAGCCTGTGCAATTTTATGCAATGGTTGATCTTGCCAATCCTTCTCTGAGAAATTCCTTCATTATTTTCCCTGTGTACCTGCATGGAGCAAGGCATTAGGGCCGTGTGGATGGCCAAAGACAGGCTGCCCTCTTTGGGCACTTAGAAAAGCCGGGAACCCAGTGCAGCAAGGAACAAAATGCTCTAATGAGGGCATAGCCAGGCGCTGTGAAGCCAGGGAGGAGTGGCTTCACTCTGCCCCGTGAGGTCAGGGAGCTGGCATGGGGGTGCAGCCAGCTCCCTATGGGCCGGTTAAGCCAACCAGGCTGGAGGCCATCAGGCAGCAGCAGCTGAATCTGCAGCCTCAGCATCTGGAGTTGGGTGGATTCTTGCTTTTCAGGGAAACTTGGAGCTGCAAACCCTGGGGCTGGTGGGTCTTGTGGGCTGTGGCTGCCCCCACCCCTCGCCTTGCAGCATATGTAGAATCAGGGCTGCATCTTGGCCCTGTTCCTGGGCAGGGGGCCGTGGGGGCAGAGGCAGCTAAGACACACAGAGATAGCTCCAGGCGTCTGCCAAGGAGCTCAGACACCTGGTCAACCTCCTATCACCTGATTCTTGGGCTTGGGGATGCACACTTGCCCCTGGTTTGCCCAGTTGATGCACTGCCTTTTCTAGGAAGCCTCTGGGGGGCCCTCCCCTGACCCTTGGTGGCCTCTTCCTTTGGACTCTCACGGACACTGGAAGTTGGCCCCATCTTTCATCTGCTGTAAGAGTGGGGAGAGTCATGCAGCCACTTCCCAACCACCTGCCACATGCCAGCTCCAACTTTTGCAAGAGCTCTGACTTTTGCAAGAGCTCTAAATTTTGCAAGAGTCCCCAGAGCTGGCCCAGGCAGCCCTGGGAGCAGCTCCTGGCTACAGTCTGGGCCTAGGACAGGGGAGACTTCATAATCTGGGACTCGCTCCACTTCTGTCACATTAGTGTTGACTGCACACACTGCTTCACTTGTCTGTCACCCCCCCAGATGGGAGCCACTTCTTATTCATTTCTGTGCCTCTAGCACCTAGCCCAGGGCCTGGCATACAGTAGGTGCTCAATTAATGTGGTGGCTTGAATGATGTGATGACCAGATTCTGAGCCTGAGGGTGGGGAGTGCTTATGAGACATAGTTGTTCTCCCCAGGACCTAGCTGGGGCCCCCTGCACCCATTGGCAATGAAATCACAATACCGTGATTTTCTAATACCGCTGCAGCCTAGGTATGGAGCTGGCATGCAATGGTGCACACTTTCCCTTCAAGGTCCAAAGGGGTGGATGGTGGTGGGGCCCTACCCCTAATAATCTCCTTCACCCCTCCCCACATGCTAATGTTAACATTAAAACTAACACTCTTTGATATGAATAATTCACATTTCCTAGTCAGGTAAAATGAATAACAGCTTCTATAAAGTCTTCCCCATTTTATGGATTTGAAATATACAATCTAAGTAAAAAGCGGGCACTTGCTATGCAAATAAAGGCAGCTTTCAGGGAAGTTCCCTTTCCTGCCCCATGACTGCCCCATGTAGAAATCCCGGGCCTCCTGCGGGACATGGGGTCTGCCTTCCCCAACCGACAGGAGCTGAGCAGGCACATCCCAGCACCCAGCAAGTGCCTGGCGCGGGCACAGCTGCAATAAGCAAGGGTCAAATGCCAGAGAGCGGGCCTGTGGCTGTGTGCATGTAGGGTTTGACCTGTGGGAGGCTGTCATTACTTCCACTTTGCAGGTGAGAAAACCGAGGCCCAGGCACCCTCTGGGCCCCAGAGTTGGCTCCTGCCTGCCCCGGATCTACTGTGCCCTAATCCCACCTGGTGCCTGCATTCCAGCTGCCTCCAGGGTGGTGAGGGCCGGAGGTGCCTTGCCATAGATGTGAGTAACAGCTGGTCACCTGGTCGGCACCAGGCTCTGATGTCATCTGCTCTCTTCCCCTTCGGTTTTCCTACTCCTCCCTGAGCTGCCCCAACTCACACTTTCCAGCGTCCCATTCTCAGGCTGTTTCTGCAGATCGGGGCTGCCCTGTATCCCAGACCCAACCACGGTAGCACAGCCCCCAGGCTTTGTTCTTACAGGGCCCCTTCAGTCTTAGGGGCCAGAAGGCTCCACTGACCCCTGGTCCCTCTCCACATCCCACCCCTGGCCTCCCACAGCTGACCTGAGAGGAGAGAGGACAGAAGACGCCAGTTTCAAATCAGGGTTTAAAAGCTCAGTTACAGCCACACACATCTTAATTGGTGCATTTCTATTTTCTCTGTGGGCATTTTTTCCTTTCTGATGGACTTTTACAAACATTTTACTGTTACATTTCTTGTAATACTGCCTGGAATCGTTATTTAGACATCATAAAAAAATCATTATATTTTTAAAAGGTAGGCTGAGAAGTTCCTACAAAAGCTCAGGCACACACATAAGCCAATCCACACACAAAGACACATACGTGCAAGTTTCCTCTGATGGAAAACAAGTTTATCACCACACCACTTTGCAAAATAAAAGTGAATGAATAATTTATAGGGCTTTTTACAAACATCTAGATTTTCAAATCTTCTAGAAAAATTTGGTTCAATTACTTGCAGCAACAGTTCTGTGAGAAACCAATGCAGAAAAGCTTACCAATAAGTAAAATTTATAATCTAAATGGGCCCGCATTCCACAGAAATGCATCATAAACACGATCATCTTTTTAAAAACACACACTCTCACACACCAGATCCCACAAAGCTGTTGCTGTCACTACATGAAGGCACCGTGTATGATAAATCCTTGAACCTTTTACTTTGCAAAGGCTCCTGATTTAATAGCCTGGACTCCCCTCCCTCAAAAGGGGGCCATGAAAATGTGCAGAAGAGAACATTTCCCATTTGATTTTGGCAAGAACCGCATCATACTGCACTCTTTGCTGCCACTTCCAAGGAGGCACCGCGCCTCGGGAGGTGTTAATTTCTTTGGACTCCCCAGAGATTCGAGGGGTGCACTAGGCCAGGGACTGGTGGGGCTAGTGGGAGGGACCCGCACACGACCCATGCCACATTGGGTCTGCACCTTAACCAAACTTACCAACAGCAGGCTGGTGTGACATCTGGCCGGCACAAGGGTCTGAAGCTTGAGTCCCTTGACAACCCCACTGTGGTCCGGACCACCCCTTCTCGCTCCAGCTTGTGGACAGCCTGACTGTGGTTCTGACTTTTGGTTTCTCAGAAGGCGAAGGGCCTGCCAGGGGCTGGGACAGCTGGGCTGCCTCCCCCTCAGCCTGTGCGCCAGCTCCTGGCCACAGGGCCGGGGCGGGAGTGGTGACTGATGCTTGGTTAGAGAGTGCACTGGGAGAGAGAGCAGTCAGGCCTGATACTTCCTGTTTGGGGAGGAAACCTCACTGGTGATAATTAGTGGCTCAGACTCAGGTCTCTTTGCTACAGGAACTGAGGCGGGACGACCAGTAGAACCCAGGATGCATAAAATGAATAAATGTCATCTGACACGCACATGCACGTGAGAGAGAGAAAGGCAGGGGGGGTAGGGAGAGGCATTTACTCTTCAGGATACAAAGACAAACATAATGGCTGTAGAAAGTGGCAATTTATCAAATTCTGTGTGGGAAATTTATTGCAATCACCGTGGCTGTCATTGGCTTAGTGATAATTCTCTCGGCATTTTGTACCGACAAAGGCTTCATTGTCATCTTTACTTGCTAGTCAGTACCCACGGTGGGAAGAAAGACAGACGGAAAAATCCATAACAGAAGACAGCACTGTCCCAAGGGCAAAGCGTGGACTGGGGACACGGGCACGTTCCTGCGGCTGCGGATGGCTTTTCCATTGACCTGGAGGCCACACCTGCAGCCCAAAGGAGGCCAGAGGTTTGGAGGCTTTTGTATCATTGAAGTAAATTGTGCTAAGTCCCTTCTTAGGGACAAGTACATTCAATTGTTTTCAACTTGTCTGGAAACCAGCGATCTTGGCGTACGTCAGCTCGAAGTAACCCTGGGCATTTGATGACCAGAACACACACCACCAGGCCCTGGCAGGGTTACTCTGTTATCATAAATACCAACGACCCGAATGGGCCCACAGAGTGCTCTGACTTCCGTGGCCTCCAAAGTCTGCCTGTCTTCCTAGAGTGAGGGCTCCCGTGGGCACAGTTAGGTCCCCGAATCTCCCCAGAGCCCAGCACAGGCCTGTACACAGACTGACCTCCCACCGCCCCGCCTCCCATTTCCTGCCCCTCCGCTTCGGCCAACACCACGACTTCCACCAAGTCTCGACTTCCTCCTGGCCCATCCAAATCCCCCTTCCTCGAAGACCCCGCCCAAGCACGTAAGCTCCCCACAGCTCCCCCACCCAGCAATCTCTCCCCACTCTGAATTCAGAGGGGCAGCTGTGTTAGTTGGTGGATTGGGGTGTGAACTGCGGTTCAGCCACGTGCCAGCAGGGTGACCGCGGGCAGGCTGCTTTCCCTCTCTGGTCTGACGATTAAGCAAAACAGTGAATGTGGAAACCCCCCCACACCTCCCTTAGAGCGGCTCCTGTGCACACATTTCCTTGCTCGGCCGTTGGCCACTCACCGCACACGGCCCTGACCTCCCTGCCTCCAGTGCCCTGCTGCTCTTTGGTCACTCAGCAGGGTCAGCTGAGGGCAGGGACCTGTGTGTCCCCCACTCCTGCACATCCACACAGGAGGCTGGTAGGTACCTGCTGGGCCCACGGGGCTCACCAGTGAGCACCAGAATCACCCAGGGAGCTTCAGCAGCAGGTTTCTGGGCAGCCCCAGGCCCAGTGTCCCTGGCTGAGGTGGGGGGTGGCAGGGGTGTTCAGGACTCTGTTCTTACCAAAGCTGCTGGGTCGTCTCTGGGTCCCCTTGGAGAAGCCGTACTGTGAGGGAGCCACACTTCCTTAGGAAAGCAAGACTTCCAAGGCGCGGGCAGCACAGGGGCTCACAAGCACCCCAGTTCCTGGAGGGCTGCAGGTCAGCTGTGACACCTGCTCCCTGTGGTTCTCACTGAGCTCCCTCGATCCTGGGATCCCCCTCCACTCGGTACTCCACTCACAGCCACACCAGACATTCAGGGCGGTTCCAGCAAAGGCCATGGGAGGACAAAAAGCAGCCACTCCAGAACTCCAGAGCTCACACCGGCACGGGTGTTGTAAGGTCTCCCCTTTGGGCTGTGGATCCAGGAATAGCCTCCTGATCCAGGACTACCAGGAGGGCAGGGCTTTCCCGGATGGAACCCTCCTCCCCATCACAGTCCTTGGCTGCTGGGCCCAGCACCATCTTCCTTCCCTCCCAGTTCCAGGAACCACCTTATTTCTGCCAAGTCTGGAGCCATTTCCGAGGACCAGCCACAAAGGGCCTGGTCTCACTTCCCACAGCTGCTCTGGTCCCCCGCCCAGGTGGCGGCTGATTCGCTGGACAGTGGTGACTCCCACACCCCCTGCATCCAGTGCTCTACGGACCCGTGTGCAGGCCTGGCTAGTCACCCAGAAGGCCTCAGCGCAGCCCCCTCAGATGCCAGGGAGCCCACTGCAGCGATGTGCAGGAAGGGCCTCCCCTGGAGGGCCCAGTTCGCAGACACCCTGACCTCCAGCTTTGCACCCAGAGTGAGTTCACCTTCGGAGAGACCCTCGCCCCAGCTGTGCTGGGTCTCAGCCCCAGGCGTGCCTTCTCCCTCTCAAGCCCACTACAAATCACAAGCCGGCCCTTCCCACAGCCAGACAAGTGACCTCACCGGCATCGGGCACATATGGTAACGGGAAGGTCCTTCCATCACAGACCCTACCACACGGGCTTTGAGACAGCCCACTACCCCGAATAAAGTTTACAAGGCCCGTTAGTCAATCCTCAAGTCCCTTCACATTTTCCCGTGATTGGTTTTGTGATGTTAGGTCTGTGTTTTTTTAAAACAATTTAATCTGACAGCTCAAGAAGGCTTTACAATGTCCTGTTTGCTTAGATCCCACCTGGCTCTCATTAAGCGGAAGTCGGGAGACAGGAGTAAGTTACTGCCTGATTGCAGAACAATCAGTGCTCACCTGTGCCTGTTCTGCCGGGGGACTATGGGGATGTACGAGGACACACTGATTGGGAAGAGTTGAGTACCAAGTAATTCTCCAGTGACAAGTTCTTACGTTGCCAAAGCGGCCAAACCCCGGTCTATTCAGCCACACCTGAAGGGGAGGGGAACATCCTGCCCCTGGGCCGACGTGGCAGTGCAGGAGTTTATGATCCACTAGCAGTTACCCATCGGCCCTGACGGCAGGCACAGCAGTGGATACCTCCCGCTCAGGGCTGTGGGGACATCTCTGATTTTGCATCCTGGCTTACATCAGCTGTGGGTCCTGGGCCCCACTGCCACTGCATCTCCTCACTTGGATTCAGAAATACGTGACGGGTGTGGGTGTTTACAGGGTGGTAAGTGACAGCAACACTCATCCTGCCAGAAGCGGGACTCAGCCGGTCTTGAAGTTTCTGGCACAAAGTTAGTGCTCAATAAACGTTTGCTGAATGAATAAGTGACGAGGCAGAATTTGGACATGCAGGAGTCTCAGGTTTGGAATCAAAAGAAGAGGCTGGAGTCACGTATGTCCTTGGGCAAGTTACACGGCTGGGAGAATAACGCTATCTGCCTCCTAAGAGTCTTGAGTTACAAATGACCTCAGGTATATAATGTGCTTGGCCCAGGGCCTTACCATGAAGGAGGCTGAATGCTCAGGGACGAGGACTGTCATTTTAGGGTGATGGGGGTGGTGTATGGCAAGCCAAGGTTGTTAAGTGCTGACAGGTTGGAGCATGCAGAGGCCTGGGACCTGTCAGAAGTCATGTTGGACAGGTAGGTGGGCTCAGCTTCAGGGGGCAGATGGGAGGAAGTGAGACTTCTGCGGCCCAATTTTGAGTACCCTCTAGAGCGTCCTCCCCCCACCCCTTGCCTTCTCCTCTCCAAGTTCTGTGACCTCCACAGCCTCCCAAATTGGGATGGGGTTGGCAGAGGCGGGGTAGGAGTGAAAAAATGAGGCACATGCCTCTCTAGGCCCCAGAAGGGAGGAAAGGAGCCAACTTGGCCTTCGGTTTTAATAACTACTTAAACTGGCAAACTTCCTTGTTTTAAATCAAGAGGCCCATTCCCGGTCTAGATGATAGGAAGCAGTTTCATGGAGAGCTTAACTTACGCAGCTCAGGCCTGCCCAGCCCAGGAGGACCTGGCCACTACACATGACAAGGAGGACAGGAAAGGGTGGGTCCATCCTCAGCTAGACGGCAAGGGAGCCTGACATCCCTGAATGGCTAGCTTCCCCGCCCTGTCCCAAACTGCCTGAAAGTCACCCCAGCCCGCTGAGGTTTTCATTTGCAGCTGGACAGGGAGTGAAGCAGGAAGCACAGACTTCTCCTTCCAGCCTGGGAGGCATCCAGCCACCACACTGAGCTGGGAACCCTAGGCTTTAGAGCCAGCGCCAGCTCCAAGGGGACTTGGTGGCCACTCTCTGTGCCTCAGTTACCTTCTCTAAGAAACTGAGAGGTTGAGATGAGAAGTGCAAGGAGCCTGGAAGCTCCCCAGCTGGTTAATGTTCAAACCTCTGGGGAAAGAGGAGGGATCTGATATTTACTGCACTCCCAGAACTCAGCACTTTACACAATTAACCTTCCAGCCAGGCACTATTGTCCCTGTTTAATGGAGATATCCTGTTCTAAGCCCTTGGCAAGGTTTTACAGATGAAAAAAACAGGTTCAGAGAGCAGAGGGCCTCATGTCATAGGGTGAAGAGCTGAGGTTCAGACTCAGCACATCTGACTCCGAAGCCAGGCTCTTGCCCCAGTGCTCAGCCAGCTGCCCTCGCCCCACCCATTGCTCAGGTGTGGGGCTTTGGACAGCAGTAAAGAACTTTCACTTTTTAACTACCCGAAGCCCTGCCCAGCACCCTGGGCAGGTCTCTGATAAGTCCAAGGAGGGAAGGGCCATGGGACAGAACAGGAAATATAAACAGGAAAGAAATCTACCTGTCTGACATCTCTAGGCTGGAAAGGGCACGTGCGTGGTCCCAGTTTAACCAGGCCAGGTCCTGGGGAGCTCCACAAGCTTGGGGCAGGCTGTTCAACTCTCATGTAAACAGGTGGCCTGGCCTGAGTTCCCTGCTGTTTTTGAGACCAGCTTCACCCCATGGCGATTCCATATCTTCCTCCCAGCTTGTTGGCAGAGGCCACCTGTCCACCATTCAAAACCCCCTTCAGGAAGCCTTCCCTTTCTCCACCACTCCCCCAGTGACACCATGTGCCCCGCTATACCCATTCATCCATCAGACATCGATTACGCACCGGCTCCCTGCCAGCCCCTCTGCGGGCCACTGGGGACAGAGACGAGTAAGACACAGTCTAGTCCCTCCAGGGCTCCTGGCTGATTTGATCAGCTGCAGGTGGGACTTGGGCATCTATATTTTTCACAAACCTTGCAGGTGACTGAGAGGGCACACCTAGATGAGATCCTTTGGTTTGTGGACATTCCGGCCCCCAGCACTGCATTCTTTGGGTTGGCAGAATCCTCTGAGGACATGGCCTGTCTCTCTCCACTAGTAGGTTCCTCTGGGCTCCCAAGTCAGGTAAATCTGGGTTCGAATCCTACTTCTGCAACTTGTTCCCTGCGTACCCTTGCAAAATACCCAGGCTCTTTGAGGCTCAGTTTCCCCATCTGTAACAAGAGACAATAATGAGGCCTTCCTGTTGGCACAGTGTGTGCAAAGCCCTTAGCAAGGTGCCTGGCACACATAAAGGTGCAATAAATATTTGCTGTTAATCACATTATGGCCGCACTCCGATGGATAGAAATACCTCCCTGGGGTATTTCCAGAACCCCATTCTGGAGCTATCTCAGAGGTGGGCCTGGATACCTGGGAGGCCTCTCAGTGTCTTCTGCCATGGCTCCAACAGGACCTGCCTGCATTTTCCCTGCAGGTTGGCCCCCTGGCCCCCAAACGACGTGTTGGCTGGGGGCACTCTCCCCTTCATTTACCCAGAGTGATCAAAGTTCCAACCACACCTCTCCGGGCAGCCTGCCCCCAAATTTCGGGAAGCGGGCAGGAGGGGGAACTTTGCACTGGGCGGTCCAGCGTCCTCTGGACCAAGGTTGGGCGCCTGGGTCCCCGCTCTGCCCTGCTGCGAAGGGGTTGGGAGACCTGGCAAGGAAGAACCTGGAAAATCCCGCCCCACGGCTGCCGCCCTTCCCCTGGGACGGGCTGGCCAGAGCCGCGCGGCACATGGGACGTGTGGACTCAGCCGGGGAGGGGCGCCCACGTCTGCACCCTGCGCTCCGGCCGCCTGCCCCTCCCCCTGCCGCCGCCTGCTCTGCCCACTGGCCCGGCGCGCGCGGCTTGAGTCCCGGGAAGGCAGGCTCACGGGGTTGGGGGTGGCGGGGAGCCCAGGACCCAGTTTCTCCGCCGCCGGGCGCACGTGGCTCAGTCCCAGGGGACAGGGTCGCCTGCAGACAGGTGGAAGCGCCCGGGCTCCGCGCGGCAATGGCGCAGGGTGCTACTCGGCGGGCACCAGGGAAAGAGTCCCGGGACAGGGCGAAGCCAACAGCCCCAAGGCGACCGGGGTAGGGTCTCTCACCTTCGTGGCCAGCTGCTCCGAGCAGGCCGGCGGCTGAAGGTCCCCGGCGGAGGCGGCTCGGCCCGAGGCTCCTCCTCTCTCCGCGCCCCACCCGCCCCTGAGGGACGGACCTGCAGGGGAGGTGGCCGCCCGCCTGCCCGCTGTTGCTTATCCAGCTCGGCCACCTCTACCAGGGCCACAATCGGGGAGCCGCAGGGCCCTCGATCCCCGCCCAGCCCTGCAGCGTTGGCAGCTGCAGCCTCGTCTGACCACTGTCTGCACTGGCGGCGAGGGGGGGCGGGCAGGAGTTCAAAGCCAGCCCCGCCACTTCCTGATCTGCAGTCCCCTGCACACCATTAAAGTAAGCAGAACTCCAGGACCGCCTCTTCCCCAGGACCAGGAGGGCCTGGGGGCCAGGGAGACCTCTAGGTCCCCTCTCCGTTAGCCTGAGGGACTGCTCAATCCACGTCCATTTCACAAGTGGCAAGCCAAGCTTGCACAGGTGGGAAGAGGCCAAGGCGCCAGATTGGATCGGACCCCTTCCCTCTGCATGCAATGGAAGTGGGGACAGGAGAGGCCCTTTCTCTTCCCTCTGAACAAGGTCACACCCGGGTCTTTGTGGTCTCGCCACATCTCTGTCCCTTGCCCACCTTCCCAGTAGTCCTCAGGTTTCAATGCC